TTGTACTAGTGAAGATTATTTAATGTGAAGACATGAGCATGTTATATTCACATTTAGGCTTCCTTGATGGGTGGATATTTAGATTCAGGGTCAAATTTGAGGGATCAACTTTCAATTATGAAGTGTTTGTGTGTGTGTGGGAGGGTTAATTCAAACAAGTGTGTGGAAGCTTATAGCAACCATTTTTCTTCTCTCCCCAATGAAAGCTAGTGTATAAATGTGGGCATGGAAATTAAAGTGAGACAGAAAAGAAGTATTGATTCCTGACCCCCACTTAACTTACTAGAACAAATGTCAGGCTGTCTGAAAGAATACTGGACCTAGCTGCAATGGACCTCCCCAAAGGCAAATAGATAGAATGCTAGTATAGAAAGAAGCACACTGTATATCCCTACTCAATATGTATCAAATATCTGTACTCTATGGCAGAAAATGAAAGGCACAAAGACATTATACTAGAGAGTATAAGAGTAACTACGTGTAATGGCTGTGTTGCTGGACTCCCACATAGTTGACCGCGGTTCGAGTCCTGGACCCGGTGGCTTAAACTCACACCGGGCGCATGTGCGTGCGTGCCCAGGATCCCAAGAGGAGAATGGAGGAGAAGGGATTGCGGCATGGCCATCCCCCCTGGGGGGTGATTTCTCGCTTTCTGTCTCTCTGTCTCTCTCTGTCTGACGAGCGCACACGCCCTATAGCAAAAACCTCTCCAAAAAAAAATAATAATAACTACCAGAGGCTGTAAGGGAGGGGAATGGGTAGTAGAAGGTGAGTGGGAGAGGCAAAAGGAAGTTCCTGGAGTTCTTTAAGCTCAGTTTTATTTTCTTTTGAAAAAAAGGTAATCCTTTTGAAAAAATAAGTACATTGTAATCTATTTCCTACCTCATGTTTAAAGATGAAATTTTTTTAATCCAAATAGCTGTAACTCCAACTAAAGATTCAAGCCTGTAATAGTTAAGGAGGAAGTTATATAATGAAATATTTTTGACTTGACTGGGATCATAGAATGTAATTCGTCTTCTCATTTCCAGGTTAGCACTGTTGTCATTACATCATTCCCAACACTTTTCTAGACACAAAAGGGATAGAAAAAAAGAGCTAGTTTTGAAAATCTTCCCCTACTTCAGAGCAAGGCAGTTTTAATCTTCTTAGAACAAAAAAGTTAATAGCATCATCAGATAAATGTTAAATGCCAAACTTGGCATATATAGATATGACTTCTTCCCACACAAAAACAAATCATTCTTTTGGCTTTTTTTAAGCTATCAATAGAATCAAATAATGTGTGTATCAGAAATTTTCTCTCCCATATCTGAGATCCATCTCATGGTATAACTTTACACCATCTGTCAAAGTATATATGTGAGCCCTGGAGAAGATGAGGATGGAGGAGTCTCAGGAATAGAAGATAGAAGGAATCGAATTAAAGCGAACTCCAAATTCAGTAGAGAGAGTGTAGATGAAACAATAACAAAAATGCCCTTTGTTCTGACAATAATAGGTTTTGCCAGATTTTTTGAGACGTTTTGGCGTAATCTCAGAAATTCTGAGACTGCTCCCAAGAAAACTAAGAAAAAAAATTTGATCTAGGTTTAGATCCAGCCCAAAATTATGGTTGAATTTGGAAATTATCAATGTGAAGATGATTATGCAAAAATATAAGAACAATTAACCTTGATGATACTGTATATGTAATGTCTTTGACTTGACTAATATGCACTGTATTCATGCTGGGAAGACCACACTGTATACTGTAAAGATATACAGTGATTAAACGTAAATGTTTTAAAAAGTAGGTCTTGAAGTCAAGGACTCTCTTGCCTGCATTCTAGGAAACCAAGCCACCATGAGTTATATAGATGAAGAGAATATTGCCAATGACCACATGAGCATTAGTGAAAATCCTGAATCTCACTTGAGATTCCAGCCCCATTTTGAGACCTGGAATTCAGTTTTGTGAGACCCTAAGCTGAAGACTGCTCAGATTTCTGACCACAGATAATATGAGAAAATACATGTATTTTAGTGTGCAAAATTTGGAATGGTTTGTTATATTACAAATAAAATGAACATAGTACTGCTACTGAATTTGCCAATAGCCAAAACATAACTATTTTAACAATAAAATAATACAAAAGGTTTTTTTTTTTTTTTTTAAACTAACCTTTCTCCTTCTAAGAGCTTTGGAGTTTCAATTTGGGGAAATTATTGAAATTATTTTACCGTATCAGTTCCTGATGTTTTCCATTAAAAACTCAAATTTCAGATCTCTCAATTTATGTATCAAATTTATTTACCAGCAAAGCAGGGATAGTAAGGGTGGAAATTTATTATTAATCTATAACATCTGTTTGCAAATATACAACTTCTGTTCAGATTTGGGGGACTGCTATGCCCTAACACATTGAGAATTCTGATTTAAAATGAGGTCTACAGGACAGCCCCACAGTTTAGAAGTTAAGGAAGGCAGATCTCACATGGCTGACCACAGTCTGAGTCCCAGGGCCAGTGATTTGAAAAACATGCAGGCATGTGTACATGTATGCTCAAAATCCTGACAGGATGGAGATACAGAGGAAAAGAGATTACAGCATGACCACACCCCACTGGGGGTTGTTTCCTTCCTCTCTGTCTCTGTCTCTCTCTGGCAAGCACACACACCCTTTTGCAGTTAAAAAAAAAAAAATACATGGGCTGCACTTTACGAGTGTGGAAAGTAAAATTCATAGGATGAAATGACTTCCTGAAATGTGACGTAACAACTTTGTAACAAAAAATGGTGGCTGAATCCAAGTGTCCAAATCCAGTCTTAGACTGGTTTTTCAAAGCCACTAGTTCTCCAGTGACACTTCCCAGGACACCAGGCTGAAAATGAACAGTGATAGTGTTTCCCAAATTGTAATATAATGTTCTCAATTTAACATTTTTCTCTTGTGAAACAATGAACTTTTTATTCTTTTGGCAACTGTTGCCACATCTCAATAGCAAGATGAATGAGCAAATGTAAATATTAATTTTAAAAACTCAGGCTTTGACAGATTATATTTTTTGTGGGCATGTGTTTGTGGCTGTTTCAATACTTTAAGCCTACAGTACCATCATTCTCTTCTGGCAGAACTGCTGGTGTTCCTATGATAGAATGAAACATAATAGCACACACAAAAAGTCACCACTTCCATGCAGTGCTCTGAAACCTAAACAGCTTTGAACCCATAGCTGTGTTATTAAGGCACATCCAAATTCATTGAGGTTACACCAGTGGAAGTTATTGAAAGTATATTTGTAATTTATATCCTGCTTCTATCCAAGAAGGATTTAAGTCTTCTCCCAACAAGAAGTCATCCAAGCCAGTCTAAACTGTCTTAAATAAGAGAGTTACACACGTTGGGAATTTTGTAAGCCGAATGCTATTTCCACATCGGTCGCCATGGTGAACACAAATAAGCAAAATTGACTGAATGGTAACAAGGCAGGGTGAGACTGTGCCTTCTATAGCATTTGATCTGCTTCTTGTAATGATCAAAGTGGTAACTATAAAAGTTTCTGCAGCATCCAAGCCAATGCTTAACAAGTAACAGAGCTTCGGCAATTAGCACGATGGATAAAGGAGGGTACAGACCATTTTCAGTGGCTAAATGAGAGATAATATAAAGTGATAGGATATCCTGTATGTTTATATTACTTGCCTCTGATTCTTTCTCGTAGCAAGCATTGGGACCAAACTGGGCATCGTTAATCATTTAAGAATATTTTTCTTCTGGGAAAATAACTCCTCCTCAGTTTTTCAGTGGAGTTAGACAAGAGCTAATTGCAAAAGGATTAAAACCTTGAAAACTGCTTTGTTCAGCTTATTGTTTTAGGTTTTCCTTTGGAGTGTGGATGATGTGTTTATTTGACATAATAAATACCACCATCCGCTTTGTTCCAGGAACCAAAAGGCTATGTGCTTGCCCAAGGAATTTCTCAGTTGTTTATATGTAAGGAAGCACTGCTCTGTTTTATTGGTTGGGGCCATTACAGCTTCTTTCTTAAATAGGGAATGC